CGCCGTACCCGTAGCCTTTCATCCTTCCCAGCTGCATCCGTATCTTTTCCCCGTAATTTTATCTCCGCTTTCTTTCCGCCTCCCTTTCCCCAGCCTCTATATTGCATATTAATACAGCAGTTAGTGAATGTTTTATTTAATAGAAAATTAAAAAATCTCCATGGAACAAAGAGCAAAGAAGCGTCATTTTCAAATCATTTTTCAAACAATCAAGCATGCATTTCGCCAATACATAAAAAAGTCATTTAAAAAGCGAAATCAATATGATTTTTTCAACTATAAGTAAGAACAAATGCATTCTATAGGTTTTATGGTATTTCCGTTTACTCTTGCTCATTACAGTAAGTCAGTCCCTATCCTCTCTTAATCTAATTTACTCATCTACAAATTCTTTCCTTCCCCTTTTTCTCAGTCAACTTTTTCTAATTCGCCTGTCTGGCGCCTTTGTACCGTCATCACCGTAAAGGAGGAACATTTCCTCACTTCCGGGGCTATATCCTTTAGGCTGCTTATAGACTCTCGTTTTCTTCGCTCTGGATCCTGGTCTCGTCTACAACCGGGAGTACGTGCCTTCCTACATCTCCCATCCTTCAACCCGATTCTTCTCGTCTAGATCCTCGCACCCATCGACTGACCCCGGGAGAGGAGGGAGGGGGAGGGGAGCTCATCTCTTCCTATCATCTCTGATTAAATCGATTTGCTGAAATCATTACAGATGACAAACGCAGCTCAAACAGTGAACGGACTAAATTAAATCACTATAAATTTTCCAGCAAAACCGCATCGAACTCCATTAAAAATTCGCTCTGGCTCCAGTTGCTGCTCGCTTGAATGTCCTGCAACATGCCGCGGAGCAGCTACGTCGGACGATTGACATTGCCCATGCTGCTCGGCACCAAACATGGAATACCCCTGACACACAGCCAACTGTTCAAACGTCATCAGTCTGCCTAACATCCTCACACGAGAACGACGAAATTTTCCCATTTCCCCGAAAAAAAAGATGGTGAATGAAGATGGAAGTTGCACTGTAAAGCCATCAGTAGTGTCACTACACAACAGGGATGATGGAACTGTTCACATTCATTGGCACATAGCAACCCCCGACTCTTAAAAAAGCCAAGCAACAACCCAGCCCTTCCTTTTCCCCTCCCCCTTAGCTGGAATTAGCCAACCGTCTCTCCCACTCCCTAAACGTCATTAAAAGTCTTCACTGGGGAAAGCTGCGAGCGCAACCTCCCAACTGATTGACCCGACCACGACGAAAAACCCCAAATAATTGGCCAGCGCACGGGCTGCCCG